GCTTCATCCGGCTTCTCGGGAGCCGTCCCAACAATAACAATAGTAGTAGTAGTTTGTGCAAATTTCAATGTCACATTGCAATTTGTTCAGGTACATTTTACCATTACTACTTATTAAAAGAAAAAAACATGTAATATGAAACCTAATCTCTAAATGAATAATGGTGTGAAATAAGAATTAAAAGAGAGAATACCAAATTCACAATCAGATTGTATAATTGCAAACTACTTCCCTATCTTCTCTGAGTTATTTGATATTATTAGGCTTACTACAAAACTATACCTTGTATTCACATTCAGTGTGTGGACTGAATAAAAGTCCAAGAGATAATTAAGAGTTTGTCCATTGACTATTAGATCAAAACACTTGATTTCCCATTAAAAGGTTAAAAATTTACAATCACGCTCTCAATTACTTCAATTCTGGTTATCCAGTTGATATTAATAATTAGCCTTCACGCAATATATAACTCAAAGTTAAGTAATATAAATTTGTATATGGTAAATCAGGTCATGAGGTTAAGCGTCCACGCATAAGACCGTAGGTCATAGGTTTGAGTCCTGTGTGTAGGATCGTGGATGCTCACTGCTGAGGAGTCCCATACTAGAGTAAAACAACCTTCTAATGATTCCAGGTTTTCAATGATGATTTAGCTTAGATCAACTAATCAATTTCATTGTGAAAATGAAAAATATGATTAAACATCAAATATGAATTTCACCATTGTGTCTTTCCTTGTTAAATTACTTTCTAAAGAATGGATCACAATTAAAAATTGGGATTTATTCATGACTATTTTTGCAAATCGTGTTATGTAAAATTATGTACCATAGTTCAGTCATGTCTACCAAACGGATATTGATTAAACAAATAATCGATAAATTTAGGTCAGATACTTGAAAGCTTCAATACATTACATCCTAATAATAATTTTTTAATGAGACATGAAGAAAAAGGTGTTCTAATCTTTTTTTTAGATTTAGTTACCTTTTGAAGAAATAATGAAGTTTATCTTTTGGTGGAGTTTTGTTCTCTGAGCTGGAAGTCTATCTGAAGTTTGTGCTGAGGATGTCGTTCAGAAGAACCATCCAGCTCAGAGAACAAAACTCCACCAAAATCATCCACTTTAGCTACAAATCTTTTCCACCATCTCAATGAAGTTTACCCAATGTAAACATGTAGGAAATCAAACTGCAGTGGATAATGATTAAATTTATACAGATTGTGACATATATGTTATAGATATAGATTAGTGAAATCATCCTCTCACAGAGTCAAAAAGTTATATTCATCAGAAAACCTCAAGGAGGAATATACGGAAATAAATAACCATCCATAAGTAAATGGATGCTCTCAAGCAGTTATAAAGAAATGCACCTCGGAATATCCAAATAATAGAAAGAAGCTTGCAAAGTTGATCAATTTATGAATAAAATTAATGATTAAAAACAGTTTTAAAAAGCACACTCATCACTCCAAAACTGGTTCCACCATATACAAGACTATGGTCAGTAACATAAATAATAAGAGACAAATGTTCATTATAAATCCCGTCTGATTATTTTTATCGATTCACATGTGCATGGCAAAACATTTACATCAGAAGGATAGAAATTCTGATTTCCATTCGTTTTACTGAACTCATTCGTATTAACATATACACCTTTGAGGATAAAACAACTTTTATAATTTGATATCAGGCTACCTACTAGACAAGAGGTATAACATTAACGCAATGAACGCGCTCAAATTTATCAATAAACAGTTCAATCCCATTTTATTAAGATTTTGCAGGAGCCATAGGGATTAGAATATTTAATCCTTACGATTGTATTCAAAAAGAGTTAATGCATAACCTCTAACGACTTTTCTAACATAAGAATCCGGTGTTCATCTTGTTGCGCTAATGAGATATGGTGACTTGGATCGATGCATATATGTGCCTGGTCTTACGTTGTAGCTGACTGACTGTAATCTTTTTAGTTAAACTCATATTTCTTTGATGTTTCTAAACAAGCTAAATTTCTGTCCTATTACATAATAGTAATGTTAGGTTCGTTAAGCTTGAATGCTACTACTGATTCGTCTTACTCGAACGGAACGAAGGATCAATGATTCAGAGACTCGATAGCTATTCTGGTCCGTTGTCCCCAACTCAGCTAACTCGATCAAGAAGTCTTGGTAAAGCGTAGGTAGTGTATTCTACAGGCAAACAGCAGATACCAAGTCAGGTCAAGCACACAAATCAAGAGTATTTATACAAATATTTACAATCGATATTGTCATGGAAAATTTTTAAACATTAATCAATAAGTTCATCAATTGACCACTATTTGCACATTTAATCGATAAGTTAGTCGATAAGATAAAATAAAAAAGCATAAGTTTTGGGGATCTATCGTCACCAACAAGTAATATCTTATTCACTTGTATATAGGTAAAAAGACTAAGCAATGAACTACACTGAGTTGATTATTTCCTATAAATATAATTCATTCTCGAAACTGATCAATTACAGTCTTAAACATCAATCGGCAAATTCAAACAGACAATACAAAATGAATTTAAACTTCATCCCACTGCATAAGTTAGTGGCTATCAGAATTCAGTAGCTAAGTGAATAGCATAATGATATTTAAAACGAACGGTACTGGATTCGAGTTTCAAGGTGAACATCAACCCTGGGATGTAGGTACAATCGGTCAATAAGTTCTAAGTAGGACGAAACACACATCCTGGATTCCACTACTAGCCATCATCCATCTTTGTTTATCAATCTCGCTTTGTTTAAATTTATATTATATACTTGAAGCGGTTTCTTTTAATCATTCTAACCATAAGTAGAAAGAGACAATATCGTGTAAGATAGAATGCATAAAACTGTTACGCTTGTATTCAAAATTTATAATAATCAACTACATGAGTTTTCTTAATATAACTTTTTTTAAAAATTCTCGATCAAAGTTGTCAAGTGAAAATCGTTTTTTCATACAATTGTCATATATCAGAAGGGGTTTTGTAGAGATTTTAGGAATTTCACTGATTGAAATCATGAGTCAATTGAAGCTAGACCACGATGGAAAACCTGAAATCTCGCTTAGTGCGGGATCGTGGATGCGCACTGCCGAGGAGTCCCATACTAGGACGAAACGGCCGCAAAGTGCTTTCAGGTTTTCCATAATGATCTAGCTTCGATTGAATCATGATTTCAATCAGTGAAATTGTCATATACTCAATTTATATTATGAATGAAATCTATTAATGCGATTTTAGTTGGAATAAAAAGTACCTTGTTTGATTAGAAATATGTTTCATTGAAATATTTCATGATTAGAATGAGTTAGAATAGTTTTTTTTGCTAAATGAAATCCTACTACGTTTTTGTATCAAAAGACGTTTTTTTGTCGAAATGCGTTAACCTATTAATTTTGTAATTTTAATAGTTGCGATCATGAGTCGATTCAAGCTAGACTACCATAGAAAACCTGGAAGCACTAGACGGTCGTTTTGTCCTAGTATTGAACTCATCAACACTGCGCATCTACGATCCTGTCTCGAGCGCAAGCGCTTAAACACTAGACCACTGAGCCGGTAACTATCAAAAAATAGTATCATATCCACAAAACCTCCTTCTGATATCAATCAACATATGCTCATTAGTGATCGGCTTCAAGAGGTATTTTCTGGAGTTCTAGTAAGAAGCAGTGACCAGTGGAGTTCAATCAGGCCTATTGTGAGATAGTAACTTACTGAAGACAATGGTGGAAGTTAGATATTAACACCGTTGGATGCCGGCCGGCTCAGTGGTCTAGTGGTTAAGCGTTCGAGTGCGGGACTGATAGTTCCTGGGTTCAAATCTCGCAAGGAACCCCACAATAGTATGTAACGGCCATCCAGTGCTTCCAGGTTTTCCATAGTCGTTTAGCTAAGTAGATTGATTTATTGTACTATAGTTTTGAGTTTTTAGAAAATCGAGCTTCTTCTGAATTTCATATCTTCTTTCTTTAATTATTATTATTATTGTGGAAATCATATAACGATTAGTCTTTGCACTCATAGGGATGTATAGATCTTACATTGAGTGAAATCTTCCAGTCATTTATAATCAGTAATGATCGTAATCAATTGGATTGACAGAATCGGATTAGCGGTAAAAACGAGCTGGAAAAACATGATACTAGTCGTTACTCAATAATCGATCAATGGTAAATATCTCAGTCTTACGGGATATCAGTCATCTATTGGAAAGCTTAGTGGTAGCATTTTATGTAACACCAGTTAGATCATTTCTGATTGTTATTGAATGACTGCTGTCGAAATGTAGATGTCACCAATCCTCCTATATAACCACCGACTTAACTCGTGTTGGTGAATAACAGAATTAAATAAGTCAAATACGAGAATGAATTTCGAATACGTATATATCGCACAACCAGTGGTCCACACAGACGATCTAAGAAACGAAGCAAATAAGAGTGGAAGAAACGAAATGGAATGACGCACCGTGGATCGATATTTATATTCAGGCAAAAATAAGTTACAGACATGTGATGGGTAAGATAAGTAATTAGCACACATACGATCATCTAAAAAAAACAGTCACGATTAATAAGCGAATAAATGATAGGGTTAAAATGTGACTTGAAAAGAACCAATAGATTGATCTGTCCAGAAGCTAGGATAACCTACATAGGCTTGACATAGAACCAACCCCTACAACATTTCGGACTGTGAAACTGAATATTAGTGTTTCAAATCCATCAGGGAGCATCAGTCCGGGTTATAGTCACAGGTAATCTTTACTGACAAGAGCGAACTAGCAACGAAACATAAATGGGACAGGGTATCCTGCTAACTGACTTCAATCATCTAACATCATACAAAATCTGTCACGTTTATTATATTTTACCTGAATTATTTTCTTAAATTCCAATAATTCATATGCTTTTAATCTATATAATATTATTGTGTTTTTTTTTCTAATATATACATACATCTAGGCAATTTACAGTATGCTAGGTGCTGATGAATCAACTGTTGATTTAAGTCCTGAAGCGCGTACAGATGAAATATTTGAAAAAATGGATAGTAACTCTGATGGAGTTTTAACAAGAGAAGAATTTATGGATGGTTGTATGGCAGATAAACAACTTTATTCTATGTTACTCGCTGATGAACCAGCTGAATAGTTAATAATTAAAAAAAAAGCAAACTACACAAAATGTCAAAATGAATCAATCCATTTTGTATCCCCAACTACTACTATTGGAAATCTTGTCATGTTTTACTTTGTTTTTTAAAAAAAAAAGAATAAATTTGTATTTGTGCATATCTATGTATCTGTATTGTTCGTAGAGATAAAAAACCAACTTACAACTAAAACATTAGTCATTTTGAAGAAGAAAAAAAAACAACAGGAAACTAAACAAACAATTAATTGTATTCGTAGAACAAATCAACTAATCATGAATGTTGAATGGTCATTTCTCAAATTGATTTTCTTCTCATTTTGGCAACAGTAAACATCTTTTGTTTGTTTGTTTGTTTGTTTCCAAAAAAAATGACTCCTGTATTTTCTATTGACTGCTAACTTATTATAGATAATTGAAGAAGTTGTAAAACACTGCATCCACCCCCTTTCTATACGTATATATATACACGTACTATTATCAATATCATTCACTCAAACTCATTATCACATTTTTTAATAATATATGGAAATATCCCTCAACTAGTAATTGAAAAAAGAAATATGAGAGAGGGGGTAATACCAGTCTCTTTTTTTTTCTCCGTGAAAACAAAAAAATTGTTTAATTCTTGTTTCAGAATAGAAAAAAAACAAACAAATGAATGATTGATTGTTCTATTAGTAGTAGTACTAGTAATAATAGTAGTATATGGGTTTATTTGTTATTTTACTTTTGTAAAAAGTGCATTGTATATTGTGAAATAATCATACATCTATCTATATATAAATAAGTAATAATTAGTTTATAATACAATCAACAGTATGTTAATTGTCGTAAAGATTTTTCTAGTTACTTTTTAAAGTCTTAATAATATAAACCACTATTATTGTTATTATTACTGTTATGAATTAATATCAGCATTGTTTCGCTATAACGCTTATCATTCATGAGTATATCTTGAAACGATCATTATTTATTTATTTATTTCTATATAAATATATTAGATAAATGCAAGTTTTGTGTACTATGTATGCCTCAATGATCAATAATAATAATAATAATAATAACAATAATAATAATTGAACCATTACTTTTCAAAATTTGATTTAGTATCCAAGGTATTTGTTGATCTCTTTTCTTTAATCTAAGACTATTATTATTATTATTATTATTATTATTATTATTATATTAGGAGGAAGTTGTTTTTTGTTTGTTTCTATATTCGTACGCATATAATGAAAATAATTTAGGCCACAGATACTATTTATAAAGTAAATAATTCGGAAATGAAAATATCAAACAACAAAAAATAGAAAAAAACCCATTTTATTGATTTATTTTTGCTGTTTTGTTCATCATTTGTAATAAATTTCTTTCTTTCATTCAATAAATTCGCTTAAATTTGATCGTATCAATCGATAATGATTGCTGGAGAGGTGGGTGGAGGGGGGTGGAGTTGAATTTTCTTCCTCTTTTTTTTCTCTTTTTCTTAATTTAATGTTTATAAAATTCTTAAACATTTCCCCTTTATTTATTAATTCATTTAGATGGTTACTCTTTAATCATAATCGAAGACTTAAGTATTTTTCATACTTAATATTAATATAAATAACCACTGATACTACTTCTACTACTGATATATATATATATATATATATATATATATATATATATATATATATATATATGACTGTTTTGTTTCTTAATCATGAATACAATGAATATTGTTCAATTGTTTTCCATGTATTTTTGTCATCTATTAAACTTATATTCCATATTTTATTTTCACTTTGTTTTTCTTTATACACTTGGAGCCTTGTCTTCTATTGTTCATTTCATTCACTTATCCATTGTTTTATTCCTTTTTTTATAGAAAGAGAATCTATATTTGAAAGAAGAATAACAACAACAATAACAGAAACACCAAATAATGTTTTTCTCTTGTTGTGTAATTTCATGTTTTGTTTAAATATAATAAATGATAAGTATATATATATATAGTTCATTGATCTGATGAATTATTGTTCTATGCATTGTTTTCTGTATACACATACCTACATATATATATATAGGCATAGCAACATATATACATATATACGTATATGCCGATGTTGCTGCATTATGTGAGTTATTTGCGTTATACATACATACATACATACATACATATACTGATATTGTTGCATTACGTAATTGAACGATATTCATGCATACTTGTATAATTTTTACTAACCTATTATATAAAGAGATGAATTTTAGTTGTCATGACAGAAATGATAAACTTCTTTAAAATAAGACAATAGTTATGTTGGTTAATATTACATAAATGTATTATTATTATTACTGTTATTATCTTAAGTATATTGACATTGAGTACATGGGTGTAATAGTTATTACTTTTTCCCGCTTCTTCTATTTCTTCTTCACTTATGTTCATCTTAAAAATATTTATGTTTACTGTCGCCATAAGTAGAATTCTTATTCAGAACTATCCATTTTTATCATTATTTTATAAGGATTTTAAATGACTCTCCATCGCTAATTACTACCACGCACACTACTGCTACTACTACTACTACTACTACTACTACCACTCATACTACTACTATTACACTGCTTCTATTATTATTATTATTATTATTATTATTATTATTATTATTAGCATTATCATTTCCACACAACCTTTTCATCCCTTTCCTTTTCATTGACATTTTTTTCTTAACCATTCTTGTCTTCATTTTATCTTACAAGTTAAATATTATTATTTGTTCATTTTATTATTGATATTACATAATAATTCTCTCATTTCAAACTCACCTCTACTTAGACCGTCTATAATGTGAATGATAATATATAGTACATGTGAATATGCATGACTGAAAATGTATGTAAACATTTACATCTATATAGGTTCTATGAACAAATATTCTTCTTTCATCGAATCTTAATTCATTTCACTGATCATCGAAAAATCAATAAAATAGAATACAATGAACCATAGATCAAACTGAGAAGTTTATTTCGGTAAATAAAAATAAACACCGTAAACACGTTAATAAACTATATTATATCTTATTTCATTGATTTATTTCTTATATATATATATATATATATATATATATATTCAGTTGTTATAAAATACAGCATTATGTATTGAATATTTGATGAAGTTTTGTTCTTTGAGTTGAATGGTTTGGATCGTGGAACATTTATTATTCTTCTGAATGATATGATCAGTAGATGTTTCAGGTTGAAGTGAAATGTTTCACTTTGATCGAGGTCTACAGAACAAGTTGTGTGTATTATATGTGAATTGAATTTGGACACTTCATTTCTACTTGAAATTTGTTGTATTGATGATATTGTTCAGAAGAATGATGAAAGATCCATGATTAAATTATACAACGCAGAGAATAAAACACCACCATTTTATGTATTAAATGTTAAGTAAATTCATTTTGAAACTGTCTCAAAATCATTTGTAACTGTGGAATGTTGTAGAGATTAATGAATTGTGTAGTTTACGTTCCATGATTAATTTTAGTTAGATAATCACTAGAAGCCAAGAAGTAAAATGGAATTGTTTCGCCATAGCATTGTACATCATAAATCTATATCTACGACCACACCTAGGGATGTATCCAGGATATTTAAACCTCAAAGTGACCTTTCAATTAATGATGGCAAAACAATATTTTGAATTGATTGGAGATTGATAGCATAAACATATTAATGTCAGTCCAGTTAAGTGTACGCCTCGAGAACTGAAATTCATAGGTTCAATCTTTTAAGGAATAATGGATGTGCCCTCTTCAGAAACCTTACACTAGGACGAAATAGCTGTCAAATGCTTTCTCGTTTTCGATAATTATATATGATCAGCTAGTAATATAAACTATGAAAATATCATCGCCACCATGGTACTTGAAAGAGTTGTTTTCGATCTAATGTGAAGACGTGTATATGTGTGGTTGTAGTGTCAAAGAGGATAATACGGATATTTCCAAAATTTGCTGAATTTACTTTTTGTGAAAGAAGTTTGAATATTTATTGCAAAAACTACGTAAATAATAATCTCGAGATAAAACAGTCGAAGAGAGTAAGCGAGGAATCCTGAACTTGAATTTCGTTTTAGTTAACATTTATCAGTAAGGTACATCTGTAAACTTTAGGGGACAGTTGCTTCCACTAGGCCTAAAAGTTCAATGCGATAACACTTAACACTTTTAAGCAGGGTGACACATGTTCGAGTCCTAGAGAAAGTATCTACTGCTTTAAAATCTAATATACGTCTTGCTGACGAATGCTAACTAGCACGAAATCTAGACTGAGCAGGGTTTCTTGTAGACAACGTCCAATCACTTGATATGATTTGCTAAACAAAAAATTATTGATTTTGTAATTGATGAGCTAAAAGATGAATACATCAGGAAATGAGCTACTATTTCATTCCTGAATCGTAAGTTCAAAACTTTTGACTTAAAATTTCTTGAGTTAGGAATTATTATCCATTTCATAAACTATTTTGAATTCTAAGCAAAGATGGATAGTGGCTGGTAGTGGAATTCAGGACGCGCGTTTCGTCCTATTTGGGACTCTGGGATGCAGGTACATCTAGCTGATTAGTCCCAAATAGGAAACGCTCGTCCTCCATTCTACTGCTAGTCACTATCCATCTTTTCTTATGAAGCTTGTGACTTTAGGTAATATAGAGGCAATCCGCACAGGATGCACATATACCAATAAGAGACTGATCAATTGCAGTCCTAAATAACAATGGGAAGATACAAGTAAGACAACACCAAGTGCATTTTGAATTTTAATTGAAATTAATTCAACATATGGTATTATTATCAGTATAAGGGTGTGGAGATCGTTGAGTTTGATTAGGGTCATGAATCGATCAATGCTTGATCACCATTGAAAACCTGGAAGCACCGGATAGCCATTTCGTCCTAGTACGTGACTCCTTAACAATATGCATTGTTTAAATGTCAAATTCAATAAACGAGCTTCTCCACAACGCATCAAAGAAAGGTTAATTGAGAAATTTTCTCAAGAAGAAAAAAAAACTAGGAATAAATATGTAACATTT